ATGGTACCAAGCATGTCACTAATGCTGGATGTAGCTTAGTGATTAGCATCCTCAGACTGTGAATCCAAAGGTTCATTGTTTGTGGTCCATTACTGTAAAAATTTGCTCCACACTTTGAGGCCATGGATACATTATAAGAATAACAGTTAAACCTCGCTATTTAGTCACACAAGAGTTAAGAGGTGAGTGCTGTTGACTAGCTGTCTTTCCTAGATAGTCAATCTGTCCTGAATGAAGAATGGCTACATGCAGATAAGCCTTTTAATTGGGTTTGCATGACAATTCTGAAATGGACAGGCATGTCACTAAAGCTTTTACATGATATCATAGCGGTTGCAAGTTATAGGCGTAATGGTAAACTGAACATCTGGAGGACTGAGAAAATGCTAAGATGAACTCTTCATGTTGTGAGGGTAAATCTCTGTTACTATTATACCACAAGGAAATACTTTTGTATGGACCTGATGCCTGTAATATATGGATCCATAAATACAGAGCATCTAGCCATAGTCAACAGGCCAGACACCCAGTAGGAGTTTTTGTGTCTTTGATTTGCTCAAATGGGTTCTTGAAAGTCATTGTAAACACATGGTTGATGGATTTTAAAAAGCATGAAAAAAAAGGTGGACAACATTGACTTCATTTTATTACACTAAAGCCGTTTACATTGGAAACTGCACTGCGGAGCAATAATCCAAAACCATGGCCATCATACAGAATACCATTGTTGTTGGCTGTAAGGTTTAGACACTTGCTAGTATAGATCATGAAATCTATATGTCAGTAAGGTAGGTTAGGCCCATTTCTAGCTGTAAGTGTGATGTTTCAGTACTTTTAGTAAGATAGTGTGTACAACAACATTTGCACATGTTTACTAAAATCCATCAGTAGGAGAATCGTCTTGATGCCTCATTATGTGGTATTGCATGTATATTAATATGCAGTAGTCCTTTTACACACAGTTTTTAGTAATAGTAAAAAAGAAAAATAATGTTCCAGAAAGCTACTGACACACACACATCATTACCTTGAACACTTAATTATCAACACACAAACATAAAAAAAAAGAAACAACTGTTTTTGATAGATTGAAAAAATAACTTGCTTATAAAAATTGTGAATTTTGGTGAAATGCATCATGATTTTCAATGAAGTTTGTCTCTCTTTATTGTTGTCTTGTTTGATGTCAAAATTTGTTTTTTGTATATAAAATAAAAATTAATATTAATTAGTGTTATCAACTCTGTTTTCAAATAAATATTTTACGTTTTTTAGGCCAGTCACGAAGTTTGTTACATACTGGAAATGAAGAACAGAGCCGATTGGCTAGAGTAAAAGAAGAAGTGATGATTGTAGATGAAATTTTTATAAGCAATTCCAATAAGAAAATGTTCTTGTCGGAGAAGACAGAGGAACGAATAAAAACTCCAGCAGTGCCTCAGAAACCTTATGATGATATCTGGTTGACCGACTATAACGTGACTACAAAATTTAATGATTCTGGAGGGAATAATTTAGAAAATGCAAAAAAGATTGTAGTTAAAATAGCAGAAGATTTGTAACCAAATTTGATTATTGTAGGGCACAAAAGTTTATGTATGGCAAGCTGTTTGGTTATGTAAGTTCCACATCAAGTATGTTTTAGCATAATTTTTAACCAGGTATTTTAAAATGTAGAATATCTGTTTGCTAATATTTTTTGCTATGAAGTTCTGACATACTAAAAAACAAGATATTCCTTATATTTATGGTGTTTTAATTGTCTTTTTACTCGCCACAATGAAACTATATTAAGATAAAATGTGAAGAATATGTAGCGTTGATGTTGCTCATTTATTCTTCAAATTATTCAGTAAACAAATTGTTTAAGATACTAAAAATAAATATAAAAGCCATGCTATCATTTAGTTCACCAGGTGTCACTGAGTTATACTGGGTTTGGGGAATTCTACCCCTTATTAGCAACCCTGTATAAATTATTAAACAAGACTAGACTTCAAGTGGAAAAGGAAGTTTTATAATAAATATTCAAAACATCTTTAATACAGATGGTAACAGAATTTCCTTAAATTTATCATCAGTGTTAATATCTCAAAAAAAAAGTTCGTAATATTTGAACTACAAAAAATTATATTGGTTTTGAACGTGTTTTTGTAATCAATCATAAGTTTAGAAAGAACAGTTTTATACAGTAACAATATAATGGAATTTATGATAAAACGTGCAGAATACATGTTTAATAAATAATATTGTTTCTCTTAAGAAAATTCTGAAACATCCATATTAAGAATGTTTTTTTGGTATTACCATATATAGATTTTCTGTAGTGAGTAGAAGACAACTCAAAACACCATACATATACAATCCATCCCTACAATAGTCCTAGTCTTGAGTTTGTATTTTTTTCCCCACTAACCCTTCTCCAGGGTTACTAGTTAGAGATGGATTTCCCAAAAACTGGTAAAATCCAGTGACAAGTGGACTGATAGAATGGGCGCTTCATATTTCTTTTTTAAGACTCCCCTCCCAGTAGTTTTCAGGCTTCTAGTTTGTAAGTTTGTCAGTTCACTTCTGAGACTAGTGTGCATTGACAGTAGAAGCAATCAGTGACACAGAAGTTGAAGAAAAATGTAATATTTTCAATAGCAGTTATTGAGCTTATCTGCGTGCACTAAATACAATGGATTGTTTATGTAACACATGAGTAATTGGACTGAAAGCTTTAATGGTTTAAGGAATGTGTTATTGTAGCTTGTATATAGATGTGTAACACAAAGTGGTATTATTTTTTTTCTTTCCTTTATTAATCAGAAATAACACGCTCCGTTGTCTTCAACATTTGTTCTCCTACTCGCAAGTGGTATTGACGTGTATCACCTCATGTTGATTGTACTTTGCATAAACTTATTATACCTAGAGTTGAAAGCACATGAGGATTTATTCATTTTAGAAATAAAGGTGTTGGCTACACACTTAAGTCAGAACAAGCTTATGTTGTTTAATAGATACACTATTGGATCATAATAACATTTATTTGATATACACTTTGCAAATCTGTACTCATTTTTTTTATAGCTTCTTGCAATTTTTTTTCTATATAAAGTTGAAGAGGATATTGACTATCTAATTGTTTATTATAAATTATTGTAACTGCTACATTTTAATTATTAGTATTAGAAATGCGTGTTAGCTTCGAGAGCTGTCTCATTCTTCACGTGCATAGTTGAAAAGACTACTATTTGAACATAAGTTGTTTAAACAACATTATGTAAATACTGTGACATTTCTGTTATTAAGCTTGTAATGAATTACAACAAGCATTCCTTTTAAACAGGTAGATCCAAATATTTATTTTGGAGTAGCTAGTATCATGAATTCCTGTTAACTGTAAAAATAATGGATTTTGATTTTAATGAATGTTGAGAAGCTGTGTGTTCAGTTTCTTGTAACGTAAATGTAGACGTTTTGTTTTAATTTATCGTTTCCACAGTAAAATAATGTAATTGGGTAATGGTCGAAAGAAGCATCTATTAACTAATGTTCATTAGTTTCAATATTATTATTTTATGGAAATTACTTGTAAAAAAAATCAACATTTTTCATATAATGGTTTCGTTTTCTTTATGTATAAGCTGTTGTTTCAACAATAAAGCTTCTAGCAGTGTATTAGTTGAAACGTTTTCTTGTTATAAGCATTAATTTACACCCACATTTTTATTTTTCTGTTATTTATCAATAAGCATTTTTTGCACTTTAATAGCTTATGGCAAGAGAAACCCTAATAACCAATTCTTATTAATTTTCTAATTTATATGAACATCAGAATGGCTGTCAACATGTGTATGTTTTATTTATTATCAAAATTCATTGATCATGTCTCATCAAACTAATGTTTGGTTGTATGCATGTTGGTACCTGAATTGGTCAGTGGCCAAAACCAGTAATCAGAATCGTAAACTTGTACGAGCAAAAAACATTTTTAGAAGAGTAAAATATGCTATGTTAAGATCATCGGTAGCATCCACTGACAGTGATATTAACTGAGTATAAAAATGTAACTTAAAATTTAAAATAATTTTGTCATAAATGTTTTCAACCATTATTCATCTGAACTTTTGTAGTAATAATTATAATTAGTAAACATGAAAGACTATTCAACCATTATTCATCTGAACTTTTGTAGTAATAATTATAATTAGTAAACATAAAAGACTATTCAACCATTATTCATCTGAACTTTTGTAGTAATAATTATAATTAGTAAACATGAAAGAATATTCAACCATTATTCATCTGAACTTTTGTAGTAATAATTATAATTAGTAAACATGAAAGAATATTCAACCATTATTCATCTGGTATTCTTTCATGTTTACTAATTATAATTATTACTACAAAAGTTTAGTCTTTCATGTTTACTAATTATAATTATTATTACAAAAGTTCAGATGAATAATGGTTGAATATTCTTTCACGTTTACTAATTATAATTATTACTACAAAAGTTAAGATGAATAATGGTTGAACAGATGAATAATGGTTGAATATTCTTTCATGTTTACTAATTATAATTATTACTACAAAAGTTTTCAACCATTTTTATTCATGTCATTGATATTTTTATGGTAGAGAACTCAGTTTTTCAGAACTAGTTATATCTAACTGTACCAAGTTATGATAAGGAATCTTCTTAAGTTTTAATGTTTCAGCAGCACAACTGTTTTAAATATGACATTTTACAGGTGTGGTGTGTCCTGTTACGCCGCCATTGTTTACCAGAATGCATCAGTCATAGTTATAGTTGATCCGCTATAGGTTTACCCGAACCAGTTATTTTTTTAAGTTACTTTTCCTTTTAACAGCTACTAATCACTAAATATCATTTTTCCTATGTTTCAGCTGTCATCTTCATGCTGGGAAGGACTATTTCTGTGGTTTTAACACTGGGAATCATTCCTAGTCCATATCAGTAGAGAAACTGTTATGCTTATCCATTTGTCTTGAGTCGCCTCCTATTAGGACTTTAATCAACTAACTTATTTGAATGCTTTTAAGAGGGGTATCCATGTTCTGCTGACTTTTGTGCTAAGTGTATTATTAATTTTTCTTTTGTGTATGTGGTCATATTCCATTATTTTAGTATTGTTCCATATTATAGTATGGTCTTCTTTGGCATGATGGACTGTTCATATAGGTAAGTATTACAGAGACTTATCAATTATAATCTTGAATTCTGACTTAATCTTCCTTTGTTTATCTAGTGCCTTTGAGTCCACATTCACAAGAGATGTTATAGATGGTATTTTTGTTCTCCATTAGGTGGTTTGTTGTGTACTTATTGATTGTATTGTGTTGTCACTTCTGACCGTTTTTATGCTGTTTATATATCTTTTATGTTTTCAGAGAAACCTTTGGCATATAGCTGTGTGTCTGTAAGTTCTCTTCCTGCTTAATATTGGTGTTTGTTTGCTATTTTGTTTATTTTCCTAGTGTCTGGATAACTTTGTCCATCAGACTGTAGTGATATTTTTCTTCGTCTTTTTCATGGTATCTTTAGTGTTACAAGTCTTGTACTCTTCAGAAACTAGGCAGTCTATGACACCTGTTTTAACCCTGTTCGATGGCTTTGACTTATAGTCACGGTATTTACTCGTACCTGTGATTTTCATGTAAACTGCTGTAGTATATGAGTTGTGTGTCTTGGTGACAATCAATTCTAGCAATGAGAGTTTATTTTATTCTATTTTCATTCCAAATTCTATATATCACGCGATGTAGTGTGTAAATGAATTTTTGATTCCAATACAGTATCTTACCTCCTCTCAAACATATAGCTATTTTCGTTGATTTCTGCCCTCTATATGCAAAACGATTTTGCATGCCACAAGCCTTGAAGCTCCCACGATCCACATTGTTCTCAGTATCTTCACATGTAAATCATCACGTGACAACCCTCCATCACTAGGAGTTCAACATAGTCTCCTGACACATGTGACTCCATCTTTTCGATTCTGTCTATCACTTTTCGTTAGGCAGTTATCGAGTGCAGACATGTTTAACATTGTGTTGTTTTCACTCGATATTTTCTTTAACTTTGCGAAGTAGTACTTTAACGTGTTTTGTTCAATTTCTGCAGTTTGTTCACTCTAGTTTTTTTAACAAGTCTCTGTAATTTCATTTTGTATTTCCGAAGTTCGTGTCACGACTTCCACATACTATTACTAATGCTTCGTGGGTCGCATTTTTTTTCTCTCTTTATGTTTATTTTATCAATTCACCTGTGACTTGGTAAGTTGATTTTCTATTTATTGCTTTCTTCCCAGAGGAATGTACATTTGAGGTCTAGGTTCTCGCTCATTGGCGAGTGTTGCCTGTCCAGGTATGATACATATCTAACCAAATTCCACACTGTTTGGCCAACTATAAGAAGTTTAGGGGAAGTTGACTGATCTCAACAATCTCGATGTATAACCACGGCTTATAACACACACTGTTGAGATGGGATGTTCCACAAAATCGCTCGTAAGTTTTCCTCACGATATAAATATGTCCATTCCAGACTGTGCTAACCTATGGACTTTCGTCAGTAAAGCCGAAGGGGATAGCTACCCATCCCTTAGCTTGAATAAATCAGAGACAGTCTGCTTTTCAAAATAGGGATTCCATGGTTACCCATTGCACTGTCTCCAGTGTCAACATTTCTCTGGACCATCCACCCCCATTGTTCTTCCAGTAGAGTATGAGAATCCTTGCCACTTTCCAAGTCCAAGCCACTGGTGTAGTGGACCATGGAGGCATCCTCCTGAATGTAATCACTTTCGTTCAGTATATAGTAGGGTGATGTTGGTGTTCTGCTAATGTGGATGGCATTGATCCTCCTAACATGTGTTCCACCTCTGTGCAGTGGGTTCTGTAGGTTGATGTTGCTTTTGAGTAGATCTGTCACATTGAAGTTCACCCCTTCAATTGGGATCCCTCGTTCTACCTTCACCTGGATGTCAGTTCCAGTGAATAGTTTTGGATTAGAGTGGGACCAGTCAATATAAATCCTCACACGTATTGGTCGTGATTCCTCATTTTGGTGTAGGTTTTTTCTGCATGTGCTTCTTCTCTGGTGGGTCCCAGAGGGTATGGTTGCACATATGTTATAAAAGCAATCCACTTCCATGAAGCGGGTCCTGGAGGTTGAAGTTGTGCACATATGCACTCCAGCTTCTGTTATCCCTCTAGTGCTCCACCTCACGGGAATTCATAACCTGAGCCTGATGTTGCAGCGTGTGGAACAAGTCCAATTGGTTTCGAAATTGACGTGAACTACCACATTGGCTCATCTTTTCCTACTGTGATTTGGATGTCAAGTTCCCGGATGACTGGTTGTGGATTTGCACACATGTGTCCCTTTGTAGATCAGTGTGGAAATTGTCTTATTCCTATTTTACTTCTAACTTGTAGATTGAAGACAGCAGTGGACCTATCCCACGTTACCCA